GATGGATGGATAGTTCCTCAGATGTTGTTGTTCAGACAGACTCAGATTTAACGAGCTGGACGCGGGTCGACGGGAGATTTAAAAACATTTTATCTTTAAAAGTATTTGATAAATGGGGCTAAAATGTCACTGATATTTTAAATATCCAGAGTTTATGATAAAACTATTTAAATGAGATCAGACATGTTGGCGCTGAAGGACTCTGATGATTTCAGAGTAACTCATGAATCTCAGATGGTAATCAGAGCCGAGTGTGACTGAGTGAAAGCATGAATGAATGAACATATCAAAGTGTGTTCAGCTGCGACTGTGCACAACGTAGGAGCCAAACCAGCAGCTTCAAGCTGTGTTTGCAGATCAGAGGCTACTTACAGCGATAACCCAGCAGCTGACGTATTTATAGAGAACGATTTTGGCCCACAGCAGGATGAACACACAGCGGTACCAGAAGGGCTGAGCCTGAGGACACAAACAGGTGGTAAGGAGCTGCTGCCTTTATTCTGTGTTCGTGCAGCGAAGCTCTTCTCACCTCGTACTCTGCTGTCAGGTAGTAGCTGTCGGGGTAATAAGGACTGAAGATGGCGTAGATGAGCAGGCACAGGAACCCCAGAGAGAACCGCTTCATCGCCGGAACAACGCTGAGGACAGAAGGGCACACTGAGAACCGTTCTGTCCAAACACATGTCCACCTTCTCTGGGATGTTCTCTGTGTTCTACCTGTTGGGGGGTTTCCCAGGAGAGTCGGTCAGTTCTCTCGCCACAAGCCTCTGGTAGCTTCTCAGGGTGAACTGAGGACCAACCAGGAAGCCTCCGTAGAAGTAGGAGAACCCACAGACCTCGAGCAGCGACGGAACCGATGGCAGGGCGGCTTTCTTCTGCTCCAAGCTCAGCTGGGACTGAGTTTACAGCAGGACAGACAGAATAAAGAAATATAAAGTAGTAACTAACTCAGTTGCTACTGTTTTGCACTGTTGCAGTGTTTCACTGTTATTTTTTATATTTTATTTTTATATTTGCATCTTCCATGCGATGGGGCCACGTTCAAAGCCTCCATCACAGAAGCAGCTATTAGGAGCTGTGGCCAGAAGGTCACTGGTGCCTGTCGTGGCGGCAACCCCAAAACCCGCTGGTGGACACCGGCGGTGAGGGAAGCCGTCAGGCTGAAGGAGGAGACCTTTCAGGCCTGG